CTGATATCAAGAATGTTTTGTTTACTTCAATGTAATTGTTTACTATCATATAACTAAAAGTCTATTAAAATTGTTTATAACATTAAAGATTGATTTAGTTAGAGATAGTTTGGTAGTTAAGGATTGTTGTAGTATTCGAGTTATAAGATAGTTAATTAAGAAATCTGATTTGACTTCCAGAAATTGATGATAATCAAATGTTCTCTTTTGTTGCTCCTTGAAATCCCTTTTCTTCCTTTCTCTAACTATATTATACCCTTTAAGGTTTTAACTTCACATCTCCAGTTTAAGGATTTTGCAGACCCAAAGCATGCCATCATTAGTTTCTCTCCATAGCCTTTATCTTCTTTGACTACAGTATAATCGTGAACATTCGGCATACATAACTCAAAGAAAATATCTAAATATTTTATCAATTTTTTCAATTAAAATTTTATCAACTATTTTAATAATATTAGAAAAAACTGTTTGATATTAATCTAATTTCTCTGCCTTTCTTTTGAGTTCTACTTAGTGTTTTCATTATTAATAACTCTATCAATGGTATTTTTGTTTAGAGTTTACAGGAACTGACTCTGCAATGAGTCCACATATACTTCCCAAGACGAATATAAACGCCACCTAATGAATGATAGATGTTGCAAAACATCTCAAAGTCATCATGGTGTGAGGAGATGTTCTAGTTTTGAAAAATATTTTTCAAATATCCAATCTTAATGTCATCAAATCTTAATGTCATCAGTGCCATATTTTAGAGAATTTTCTATATAGGGTATCTATCTGATTGGGAGTAATAGGTGGCATTTTCTTTCGAAAAACAATAATAATAATATGAAGTAAAAAAAAAAAATTTTTTTCTTTTTCATTAAAATTGTCATCATGAAGATATAAGACTTCAGTGAGTTCTGAGTATCTCTAATCAAGTCATCGATTGTTATTAAATTCAATGTAAAAAAATTTTTGAATGCCTATTTTCAAAAAATTATATCAATAGTTATATCAACTAATATAATAAAACTTTTTGTTCCCATGTTTGTTGGTCTCCACTAATTTTATATTTTTTTATCTGTTATGTAATTCTTAAAAATTAAAAAAAGCTATAGATTTGATGAGTTTTAATAAATAAGAAATATCATAATAACTAAATATTTTAAACCTTACTTTTTATTATGGAAGATTCTTGCCACAGAGATGATTATATGCGTTAACTCTATGTCCGATCTCCAGCAGTTAAAGCAATTATTTCTTTAATAATTATTATTTTTAATATCCAGTTTGTGCAATGTTAAGTTTCCAAAAGTAAAGTAATCAATTATTTGAAGTATAGTAGGTCTTAAAGAGTAAACTTAATTTGTGTTCTATAATTCTAATTATTCATTAATTCTCCTGCCAATCTGAGAGTTTTTGACATCCACAATATTTATTTGTTATTGTTTATACTATATATAGCCATAATACTCGTACAGATAGCATACTATTCTATATGAGCCTATGGGCGCTATCCAGACAAATATAAAATAATTTTATAGCCAAGGCTCTTTTACTTTATCATCTTTACAATTCTTAGCAAAATGATCGTTACTCCAGCAATTGACGCAATCCTATATAAAATTTTTCAAAAAAATGACATATGTCTGAGTTTCTTCGGAATAAAAACTAGAAAAATGATCATTTATCGGAGTTGTTTCCAGAATTTTTTTTATAGGATAATGTCCTTTATATTCTTTGGGTATTTTAGGACAAAACTTTGAAACTATGCTCATAAGCATGACAATGAGTTCTCTTTAGTTGTTACATCATAACTCAATTGTTCGATTTGTAATTCTGACCCTAAACATCATCCAGATGATTCAAAATATTGACGCTGTTCCTATCTGAGTGTGATAATAATGCTGATACAAGCAGTAAAAATAAGTGTTTTTGAAAAGATCTATATGAATGAATATAAATAAATCTAAAAGATTTTAAAAACTTTTAAATATAATTCCATATTATGGTATTCTTGATAAAATTTTCATCTTTTTTTCAAGAGCTATAAACTAAGTACTATCTTTTAAAATAAGTGTATGTAAGACATTTGTTTTTTGAATTAAATAGTATTAGTACTTTTTAATACTTTCTTCTAATATATTATTAATTTAATAAATATTTCTGTCATATGTTGTCAAATTATTAAGTTTAATCCATGATTAAGAATTTTCTTTCTCAAAAATTTGTCCAAAGAACTATTTAATCACAATATATTGAAAAGTAATTATCATTATTTGAGTCAAGATTCTTTTCTATCTATAATCCTTAAACTGGATTTTGTTCTTCAGCATCAAATGTCATTTTATCATTGAGACTGAATATAGTAGTTTCTTTTCTATCTATAATCCTTAAACTGGATTTTGTTCTTTAGCATCAAATGTCATTTTACGATCTGAGACTGATTGTAATTCTTTCAATTTAACAGCCCAACAATAATAATAATTTTGAATGTTATTGTATATTCTCTTAATTATTGTGACTTTTGTGGTCCAACTCAAATCTAATTTGGTTATAATCCTGTATAATTTTTCTCATATCAAAATTAAGCCAATTATGAAAAATATTAAAATGTCCTTATAATGAATTTTAACGAATTTTCCTTTCGTCTTCATTGCTAGCTTGAGACTGACCGGAAGAGTTTTTGTTCTGTGAACCACTCATGTCAATTGAAAATAAAGCATTTTTAGTAATTTGATATATGGGTTATTTGCTTTATAAATGTCCTTGCTCATGAAATAAATATATGTTAATTCGTTGTTAATATTATTGGATATCCCATATATTTCTGTGAGAATGTATAAATCATAATGCTGAAAAGTTCTTTTAATATATTTGTTCTTGAGAAACGGGGTTATCACTGGCGGAACTTGTAGAATTAGCCATGGTCGGTATTGGATTTGCCTCCAAAGCAGCCGAATATTCTGGTTTCTGGCCGGTTGATTCATCCTGGGACTTTGGTTTGACCTAGTAATGTGTTAATAAAGTGCATTTTTCGAATGGAACTATTTTTCTTGAAAGAGATAAATGTATTTCATTATTTGAATCTAATCCATATTCACTTTCAAGATGAATAAAAACATCATGATATAATCTAAGAATTAAACGATAAACATCTCTCCATAATCGTTCAATTCTTTGGTTGTGAACTGATCTACCAAAAATATAGCTTCCTCTATTCATTCCTCTATAATTAACCATCCATTCTGCAACTAATATATTTTCTCCAGCTAGTCGTAACTAATCCATTAAGGTAAAAGATCAACCAGCATCGCATGAATCTAGTTTGATTTCTTTTACTTTCTTACTAAGATTTAAATTATGAAATTAAATTAAAACTTTATAATCAATTAAAATTTTTAAGTCCAGTGTTGAATTTAATATAACTTTCAACCAATTTGTAAATAATATTTATAAAATTTTGAATTAAAATGTTTTATAAATAAAGTATAGTCTAATGATATTCTTCTTTAGGAATATCAGAAAGTTTTTAAAAAAAAGAAAATAAACCTTACCAGGGAAAGGTATTTTTTCAATTTTGTAAAAAATAAAAATAAAAAAAATATGAAATATATATATTTTTAAAGTATTTCCAGTAATGAATGTAATGTAGATAGTGCATACATAACAACACTAATTTCTAGACAAAATTAATCCATCATTACATTGGTTGGGAACGTTGTACATGAATTAAATTCATCAGTCTCTTTGTAATAAACGATTTTTTTTTTTTAAATTTTTTTTTTTTAAAAAAAAAAAAACGATATCGAAAATTTANATTTTGACAATCTTTTTTTTTTAAATTTTTTTTTTTTAAAAAAAAAAAAACGATATCGAAAATTTAATTTTGTAGGTATAACGAGTTCGAAAAAATTTAAAGATTGTATCTTGATATATCTTGACATGCTCGAATATCGTCGTTTAGGTTTCCGCAAATCATGTGATAATCTTGACACATGATGTAATACCGTGACATGATTTTCTTGCCGTATAACTATTATGTATGTAAATGCCTATTTAATTGAAGTAGCTCAATCTTCTCATTTATGAATTGTCGAATGATAGATTCCTTCGTTACATTAGGAACCACCATAATAAATCTTCGCTTCCATGCGTGATAAATTTTTAATGTGTTATGAATAAAAAATCTATCGGTTCGGAAAATATATCTTCTAGATTTTAATTATAATAAAATAATGACTTCCATGAAATATTATATGTCTTCCATGAAAATAAATGAAAAAAAAGAGAGAAAGAAAGAAAAAGGTACATTACAACAGCAAATTCTCAACTTATTTATATTAAAATGAATCAAATCCTTTTGTGTGATGATTAAAGTGACACCCGAATTTTGCCACATATGAATAACATTAAAAGCCCACACAAGCCAAAAATTTGCTGTACAATAAAAACAAAATCATTAACCCACAGCCATAAAATTAAAAAAAAAATTAAATGGGCTTCAAAGTAAATATTGACATTTAATCAACGTATTAGAAAGAAAATTCAGATTATCGTTATTAACATCTTTTACATTTGTTATTAATTTATTATTAAATATTTGGATATCTTCAGGGCTTGTCAAAAGTATTAGAAAATTTAGATTATGATTATCGTTATTAACATGTGTAATTATTATACGTGATCTAGTGAATTTCGATATAAAATATAGTAAATATGTATAATTATGAACTGTATAAATAATCGTCACGTGATCATATAAAACCGCGTATAATTATTAAATAGGTTATTAACCTTCGAAAATTTTATTTTCTGTTTTCTAAAAATAAAAATAAAAATAAAAATAAACCTTCGAAAATTTTATGTATAAAATTTGAGTGTATAGTAATAATAGTATACATTTAATCATTTTATTTTTTAAAAATTAAAAGTATTTATAATTCTGTTCTTTAATCATTTGTACAAATTTCAAACATTTGTGAATTAATATATATATATAAAGTACTACAAATAGAATATTGAAAAAAAATCCATTATTTTTACGATATTTAATATTGCGGGGTAACAAAAAAAAGGAAAAAGAATCGAAAATTTCCAATCATGTAATTAAATGATATTAATTATATTTGAATTTGATAAAATTTTCAATTTTTCATTAAAAAAATTTGATTCGCTCACGTCTATTTTGAATACCAATATTTTCTTAACATATTCTCGGATCGTAAAAAACCCAATTGATTTTTTAAATATTGACGTAAATAATTACATTCTATTGTTTCGATCTATTGAACGAAATCCAATTGTCAATTAATTGTTTTTTCTCCTCATCTAATGTATGATGATGACATACTAAGAAAAATTAATTATTTGATTTAAAAAAAAAAAAGTTTTAATCAAAATTATCTATAAATTACTCACATTCAAGATCGAGATAGTTATGCCAATAATGACAAAGTTGACGAGCACTTAATTGAGGAAGAATTTCAGCTGTTCTTACGAATGGATCACGATGATTTTCCAATACGTCCCATCTATATCATTGAAAGAATATCCTTCTATAAAAAGATATATATTTATATATATGAATTTATAATAAGATTAAAATACTATTAAGTTTATGTAATCACAACCGTTCTACATATGTAACTTATTACCTCTCTATCAGATAGACGTACTCTCATTTATTTTGATCTATGATTTAACAAATTATTAATAAAGAATTGTTAAGGAAATTAAGTAAATGAATAATATGCATAAAAAAAACAAAGAATTTTGATACTTTTATATTTTAGTAACGTTATTGCGATCCGGAGTCCTTATGATTCGGAGTCCTGGCGATCCGGAGTTCTTGCGATCCGGAGTTCAAATTTCAGATGTACATCACTAGCTTTTTAAAATATTCCTAATAAAGAATTAATGAAAGTTAACTTATATATTAAAAAAAGATACAAAGGCATTATAATTTATGACGTAAAAAAATTAATAGATAGAAAATAAAATTGAAGATCATGGAAGTTTAGTTCCGCTAAATGTCGTGTCTATCACCTGTTCATAATTTCAGTCAGAATTAAAAATGGGTGTCAATCATGTGATATAGTAGAGATCTTAACACAAGCGTTAAAAAAATATACAGATTTTAAAACATCTTAATTACAACCAATAAAACAATTTTTTTGATGATAATTACATCTTATCGTAATATTTTTTTAAGAATAGAGAAGAAAAATTACATTCTTCTTAAAAAATCACAGAATTTCCAAATTAATAACGCAGATCATTTAAATATACTTTTGTATTTAATTAATTTTGACTCGTTGATAAAATGTCATACAAAGACAATATTAAGTAGTATCAATAAAAAAAAATTCTAAATAGAAATATTAATAATGAGAAATTCTTCTGGATCCTTCTATTATAATCAAGAAATCGTTAGTCCAATTACCTAATTTAGAAATGAAAAAAAAGATCCATAGATAAATAATGTTCTACAAAAAGAAATTTTTTTTGAACGTTCATAAGATCGTACCAATTTTGATATATTTAACCTATTGAACAAAGAATTTTGATCCTATTACTTGAACATTTATTATTTTCTCACAATCGAAAATCAAATTCCAAATTTGTTATTTTATTTCCCATGTATTAAAAACAATTATGATGTAGCACTTAACCTAATAAATCATTGCTTTAAGTCATCAAGCATCAAAAATCTAAATCATATGCACATATGCAGTAATTATAATCAGAAATTAAATCTAATCATTTAAAAATTTTTAAATAAATATAATTAAAAATTTGACGAATCTAACGTCTAGTACGTCTATAAATAGACTACTCTTACCAGGAGGCCATTATGGTTTCATTCTTAATATAGTAAATATTATACTTAAAAATATTGTATCTTGGCAAATAAAACAAATATATTAATCAGGAAAAAAAAACTTTATTAATTGAACACATGTAAGAATCACAACTCACGATCATTAATTACTAATGTATCTTTGATTTGAATTCGATATGGCGTTATTATATCCCTAATAAATTATTGTGAATTATAAAGAACCTTTAAGTGTTAAAAGTGACCTGATTTTGAACAATATTGAAATATTACTGCGTATGGGTCCAGTTTTTTAATATAAAAAGCAGCTATAATTTACTTTTGATTTGTGAGTCATGTCCAACATAAGAATTTGTTAAGCAATTAAGACAGTAAGCAGTAAGATAAATTTTTATTTATTAAGAATCTAAGGTCTGTACAAATTAAATCAGTCGAATACTTACTTTTTTTATAAGATAATTTTATTAAAAAGCAAATAAATGTAAATTTTTTTTAATTATAGAAACCTAAAGATTAATAATAAGAATTTTTTTTAAGAATGTTTACCTAAGATTGAAAATAACGTAACTCCTCCCTTATAATAAAATATAATATTAGGAAAGGTAAATAAATACTGTATTATATAAATAATTTTTATTTTTTAAATATATTTTGTCCTTTTTGTTGTCTTTTTTTTTTTTACTAATTTATTTATTTAAAATTTTCTTTTTTAAAGATTATTCAATTTCAGTATATAAATATTTTTTTAATTTAATTTATTTTATTTATGTATTTATTATTTATTTATTTATCTTTATTTTTTTTTTTTTTTTTTTTTTTTTTTTTTTTTTTATTTTTTCTTAAATTATTTTATTATGTATAATTTATTGTAAATATTTGTGTTGAATATAGAAATAAAAATAATATATTAAAAATATAATATATAAATAGAAGTTCTTTCTACTATTTATAATTCCTTAAACACACAATTTTATAAAAGAACAGGAAAGCAATCGGTGGACACAGATTTGCGATATACGTCGAGTCCTATTGTAGCCCTATTAGCTATATTTTACTCCTATTACTCCTATTTTACTTCATCGTTTGTAATTTTCATCTGTTTTCCGCTTCTATATTCCCGATAGTTGTATAATATAATATCGATGGATACAATGTTATCCTTTGATCAAATTAAAAATAGATGATCATGTAATACAGAAATTTATATGTAGCCTTGAATCAAAAAAAAAAAAACCAAAAATACAATTTATTTCTTGCTCGTGTAACATTACGTCTGAAAATATCGGAACTAATAAAAAGGCTGAAATTATGAAATTATGCTATATAAATATTAGTCTAAACCTTGTGTTAAATTTCGTCTAGATTTATGTTTGTTAAAGTGACCATACTCTGATCGAGAATTAATTTATATCACTAATTTTACATTAATTTTATAGTTAAAAAAGGTTTAAGCTCAATATGCTTAATACTATGGTAAAAATTTCAAAGACCGACGGGATTTGATCAACATATTTAATAAATATTATTATTATTGTCCGCTTGACGCTCAAAAACCCAAAGTTATTATTGTCAGTCATAAATATAAAAGTATCCTTCTATTTTGACTTACCTCGTGTTAACTCTGCATTTATTGTATTACGTACGGGGGTCAATTTTAGTATGTCGTACAATGTCAAAGAAGGATATATTACGCCATAAAAAAAAAAGGGAGTGGTAATATTTATAAATTACATAAAAAAAATGATAATAAAAAAATATTCCCATAAACAATTAGAAATTAAATATGACATAAGAAAAAGATGGGGTTAATGTGAGTAATGTTAAACAGAAAATTTGTAAACAAAAGCAATACCTGGAATAGTTTAAAGTCATTAATCTAAAATGTTGTACCAGCAGCTTGTTGGTCTGGGTAACGGAATAACAATCTGTCAAGTATAGTATTTCATTAGTTTTAAATTTCTAATTAATATATAGAGTACTATATGTTGATTTTTTTAGATTTATTTTAGCGGATTGTTTGAGATTCTAGAGAAACTTGAATTCTCCACTCTCCCGCGTCAATAAGTAATTCTCACTGCGTCAATAAATAAATATTTCTTATTGGTGCAAAAATAATATTCATATTGTTCAGATTGTTTGAGTTTATTCATATTGTTCAAATTATTTCATGTTCGGGTTTTTTTGGCTGTCGTGTTCATTTAAAAACTATGTTAATACTCTTAATAGTATTTCCCACGGTTTAGGAAAAAGCCTTCTAATTTGAAGTCTCAATAATAAATGAATAGGAATATCATGAAAATCGGTGATCCGATTATACGTCTTAACTCAGCCTTACAATAATAATAATATATATTGGATTATTGTATATCTATTTTTCGAATATAGTCTTTGATACGATTATCCTTAAATATAAATATTTATGTGAATATCAATCACTAGGCATTTTACAGATCATTATTGTTTCATTGTTCTTTTATTTATTGTTATAAACGGATAGATTCCGTCCATTCATTCACTAAAGAAGTTTAAACTTACTACGTACAATAGGTAAACTATTACCGAATTTATAATTCGTAAATCAAGAATGAAAAAAAAACGGAATTTATCTTATTTTATTTTTTTTTTTGTAACACTTTCAATTGACTCGGATAACATACTTTTTTTTTTTTGAACTTAATTAAGATTTTTAGTATTATAGCTTCAAACCTTCTAGATTTCAGGTCATCTACGTCTCCAGTCGTCTCCTGCTGAGTCTTACGTCCCCTGCTGAGTCTTACTCCCCTGCTGAGTCTACGTCCCCTGCTGTGCCATTTAAAAATGATCTAAATGTTTTTAGCAAAAGTATTATTGGTTAGTTTTTATTTCTCCAGAGAACGATACCATGATACAGTATAGCGATAATGATATTTGTTGTGATATTATAATAATTTTAGGATATTCGGGTATGCGAAATTCTTCAAAATCATCCACTTTTAAAGAAACATATAACGATCTTTAAACTCCTCAACTATCAAGAAAATGAGAAAATGACAATCTTCATACGGGAAAATTGATGTACATTGTAAATTTTATGATTAACTTTCGCTCGAGTTGAGTCGAGTCCACTAAAATTAAAATTACTTTTTTTTTTTTTTTTTAAGATAAACTTTATTAAAATCTTAGTAAAAAAGAGAGATAGAGAGAGAGAGAGAGAGACAACTTTTAAAAAATACTTCTACTTAATTCGTATATATCGATATATAATGTATATATGTATAAAAAAAAAAATAATAAACTACCATTTACGATATCAAAAAAAAAAAACTCCAAACTCCTACAATTTATTTAAAAATTTTGTATGAATAATACCCGTCTTATTAATAGAATTTTTAACATTACCATTATTATCATCTTGTTTAATCATATTCAAATTATTGTTATTGATTCTTTTTGGTGTCAGATAATTAAATAAATATCCTTTTAAATGGTACTCTAAATTTTCCCTTTGACCGTTAGAAAATTTCAAATATTCTTGATGTTGATCAACATGTCTTAATTCAATACCAAAAATATTTTTATTCAAATACTGAACTATTAACGTATGAGAAACCATTTCACAAGTTATTTGAAATGATTTATTATGATTTAAATGATAATAAAAAGTATAAATCGCACAATCATTAATATTATTATTAGGGGGAATATTCGCGGTCTTATTTAATAATTGAGATTCGTAATCGTGAGAAATCTCTTTACAAGTAATATGAAAAATTTGAGGATCATTAGGTGGATGATAAAAGAATGGATATTCCCCTTCTCCAAAATATTCATGAGAAAATTTGGATAAAGGGTTGTCTTGAGTACGATGCAAGGGTTGACATGACGTTAAATGTTGCATATTATTATTTTTATTAGCACAATTGCTCAAAGAGGTATTATACTTTTCATCAAGAGAAGTAGAAGTGATAATTTGATTATTTTGAGCGGTATTTTGCGCTAATGGATTCATATTCATAATTTTTAAAATTTTTTTTTTTTAAAAAAAAAAAAAGAATAGTAAAAACTGGTTGATTTTTATATATATCTAAAAGATCTAAAAATGGTATGATTTTATCTCCTTTTTTTTTTTTAATGACGATTAAAATAGTTTTTTTTCAAAGGGGGCGCATCAAAAAAAAAAATTAATACAAATTTGGTAATTATATAAAGTACTAAGTAGTTTGTTACACACAATCGCCATACAACCAACTGCCAAAAGTAGAATCCCCCAACACTTACCGTTTGTGTTCATTGAATAAAATCCACTAAAAATTAGTTTCCCCAAGAAATCACGTATTATGTGTACTTTCGTTTGCTTTGTAAGTTACCAAAGAAAGTTTTTGAATGTATATATCATGTCGATAAACGGCATTTAACTTCTTTCTCCGGTTAATAAAGAATCTTATAGAAAGGATAAAACCTAATTTTAGAAGACATATTAAGACATAAAGGTAGAAATCATCATGTGATTGCGGAAAAAAAATACTCGAATTTAAGCACTGAACTAAGCAATGGGCTATTGGGCTAAGCACTGAGCTAAGCACTGAGCTAAGCAAGCAAAGAAAGAAAATATATATATGTATATATGAATATATATCTTTATTTTTATTAAAAGTCTTACTTTATATTCTGAAATTTACGAAATCATTAATCATTATATTATTACAGTATATTTATTAAAAAGTAGATATTTACTGATTATGAAGATTATGAAGATTATGAAGATTTAACGTGGGATTCAATATATTTATATATATTAAATAATATTTCTAATATAAAAAAAGTTAGAAGTTATAGATATTGTAGATAAAAAGTTATAGAACTTTATAGAGGTTATGATAGTTATAAAAGTTACGAAAACTGTCGAAAAGTTAACGGAAATTACGAAGATAAAATTAAGATCTTTTAATTATAATTATTATAATTGCAAAATAATAAAAATAGGCTACGAAAAAAAACACGATATTATTTCATTATATGATTTTATCTTCATATAAATAATTAAAACTTTCAAATTCAAGCGAGAATAAATATCAATTAAAAGGAATAAAAAATATATATAATTAACTAAAGATCGGTTTTCAATTTTATTAAAACATGTAACAATTTATATAAGATAAAATAGCTCCCAACTCACTCAGATTGATAAAAAAAATAGATTTTAATATACTACATATTACCTAAGAACGACTTCGTGTTACTATCTATCTTCAGCTTGACGCCTGATCTGTATTACAGGCCTATCTGGACCTGCATTATATATATGCTGGTCATGTTTGGCATCACAAAGAGGATCTAATACATCTTGTCCAGAATATATTTGTATTACATACAGTATACAGTACGTATATACCGGTCAAGAAAGTAAAGTGATACAAGAAGGGCGGAACTTAAATATATAGTATACTGTATAATATAAGTCAAAATAGGTCTGTAAATATTTCGCAAGCCCTTTATTGTAAATCTCGATGAAGTTTAAAATTCTAATTATCCTAATTACAGTAAAGTCTAACAATAATAAGTAAAGCTTCCAGTATAAATACTATATCGTTCTCACGCCACATAAACCCAAATCATCTATTATTATGTAATCTACACGTTAAAAAAAATAAATTAATTTAGCGTTACTGTCGTTACTGTCGTAGTGTCGTAACATTTATACTCCGAATTTTGATTTTCGATTCGCCATGTACTGTACAGTATATAAATGTATCCACCAACCAAAACCTAATAACTTTTTACCAGTATTAGAATATTCTGTAAAACGTCAAAAAATAAATATTTTGGTCATATAATAAAAGATGTTCCAATATTAAAACATCTTTTTTTTTAAACCCGTCTTTGCGATATATTAATACATAGGGTATCCTTAAACAATTTGAGTTTTCTCGTGGTTTCTCGCAACTTGCTCGATATACAATTTAATATTGAATTCGATTATTCATCAGCATTTATCTATATTTGTTTTTCGCAATTATCATATATAGTTTTTCGTTACAAATGTACAATATTATTCTTGTAAAATAATAATTTACATTATTAATCTAAAGCGCATAATGTTTTACAAAAGTGATAATAATTAATACAATGCAATTTCCCTATGAAAATTTTCTTATGAAAATTTTTTTCTGGAAATATTACAGAAAGTTTCTGAGTGACACTGTCTTGGGAAAAAATTTTTCCATATATATATAGGGCTTTATTTATCATTGAAAAGAATTTGTTAATATTATTTCATTTTCCGTCCTACATAATTTTTGACATAATTTAATAAAATAACTAAAAAAAGATATTAAACAATGCTATCTTTTTTGTCTTTGACAAATAAAAAATAAATAATCTCAAAAAAACGTAATCGCGTGATTGCACGAGAGGTTTGGAATTTGGATGTTACAATTGTTACATGTATATATGATTGCTAATCACATTAATCACAACCGATTATAGAATGTGATATACCCATAAAAACGTGCACCATGAACCTTAAAATCATCTTAAACCCTATTTATATACAATTCAAATTATTGTTTCAACATTACGCCATCTTAACGAAATTTTTGAATATTTGAAAGATTATAGTTCTTTATATTAGTAGATCGCCTTTGGTGCAAAATAAATAAATAACTCAGTGTATGAAAGGAATTTACGGAGCGCAACATTTCCGCAATTATACATAATTCTAGTTTGCGCATAGCGCAACTTATAATTTTAAAATTTATATTTAAAAACTTAAGATTTTGCAGATATAGTATTAGGTGCGCAAATTGGATTTGTTTTTGCGCAAATTGCATGTGACTTTTTGTTGTACATTGCGCAAAAAGTATTTGACTTGAATTTCATACACTGGGTGCAATCTTTCCGTCAGAATTTTACGGAATACCTTCCAGATGAATCGGAAGAAATTTTATATGGGAATAAAATTATTTAATTCATCTTCAAGAACTAGTCCAATGTTGGATTACGCATCATTTTGTATCAACTGAAGAAGTTTATTGAGGCATTGAACGATAATCTACTCAGCAGAAAATGACACAACTACCCGTTCGTATCATAAATATAATAATTCAAGATTTCTTTCAAGTTTATAGACAAACATACAACTTTTACATCATACCCTGGAGCAAGGACATTGTTATTCAGCGGAATTTGTATTTATCACAAAAGACGTCATCATATACGATCATTCACAGTAACATTCAAATGGTTATTTCGGATGGATTAACGGAATTAATTCTTGCTCAACAAATTTTGAAACATTCGTACTTGGTAAATTACAATTTACAATTACTTTATTAATTCCTAAAAGTTTGGTTAAATTAAATATTTGTAGAAGTTTGCCCATTATTAATTATTTAGGAAGTATTAAAATTGGTTGTGGATATTCTCTTATTTGAGGCCGTTGATGATTTAAAAGATTGAGATAATTTTGGTAATTATGTATTGATTTATATTTGTGAACAATAGACAAGAAATTGTTTAATAAATAAAGCAATGAGGGCAAGCACTCGATTTTATATTGTGATGGTGACGTGATTTACGTGATATTACAAGAATTACTGACCCTACCGACTCGCCGACTCACCGGGCACAACTTTTACGCAAAGATCGCAAATATATCGCGTCTTTACCTTTCGTCTTACCTTACATCATACCTTACGTCAAAGTAAGTCCAGATTATTCTTACGTTAAAATTAACAGCTAAATGTTGAAATGCCAGAGTGGTATATTTATTTATCAATGTCTTTTTTTTTTTTACAAAATATAAAAATAACTAATATTTGCATCCTAGAATATTACTAAAAAAAAAATTGATCCTACATCTAATCATCTAATTCAAAAAATGTCAATTTCTTCTTCATAAAATTCTTTAATTTCAAAATTCTTAATAACACCCAATTTTTTATATTTTTTAATAATTTTCATATTTTTTCTATTTGCTTCTAAACTATTATAATAACCCTTAATAACAATTAAGGTAAAAGGAATTCTATCTTTCCAATCTATAAAAAAATATTTTAAATCTTTTGGAGATAATTTTGATTGAGAATTATTAAATATTTTTAATTCACAAAAATTTTTTGGGGAATGTTTTAAAATAGTTTTAAATATTTTCATCTCACTTTTACGTCCTACCCACCAAATTTTAATACTTTCTAAATATTGACAACTCATAAATATAGTTTTTAATATTAATTTATTACTAAGTATTATAGAAAGTTTTTTAAGATTAGGACAAAATTTTGCAATATATAAATTTAAATTCTTATTACCTCCATCTATATGTAATTCTTTAAGATTTTTTCCATTTTTTTTTAAAAAATTAATTAAATATTCAAGTTTAAAACATTGATAAGGAATTCTTAAAATTTGTAATTTTGGAAAAAAAATATTTTGTAATTCTTTAAAATCTTCTAAATTTATTCCTTCAAATCCAAGTATAATTTCTTGTAAATTTAAAAATGAAGCAATAAATGATAATGATAAATCTTTACAATAATAACTATATATATGTAATGTTATTAATGTATTTGTTGATTTTGTTAAAGTAGGAATTATATCTTTCCAATCATTTGTACCATAAAAAAATAATTTTAAATTTTTTAAATTCTTTTGTAAAGAGATCAAATCTTTTAAATCATTTGAAACGTTCTCTTTGAATTTTATACTAAGTGATTGTAAATTATGACATATTTGAGATAGATCAGATTTAATACTTGAACTACAATGTAATTCTGTAAGATTTGTTAAACAATTATTTGTTCCAATAAATGATATATTATTAAGTATACTATAATTATCTACACAATAATTTAATCTTCTCAATGATGAAATTTGTCTCAAAAAATTTTTTATGATCTCTCTTGCTATTAAATTATTTCTATATTTTATACTTAAAGAATTGATAGATGATCCAATAGAATCAATTGATGGTTCAAGAACATTATCAATGATTCGTCCAATATCCTGAATTGAAAGAACTCTACAAAATCCTGCATAATTAAACATTGGTGTTTTTGAAGTAAATGTTGGAATGATTTTTTGTAAAAGTTCTTTTGATTCATTAGGAAGACATGAAATCAATGTATTAAGAATTATTGTTTCATTTTTAAATTGATTTTGTATCGTAAAATATTTTAAAAATCTCCAAATATTTCTCCATAAAATTCTAACTGCAACTACACACCAAGAACGATTAACTAATAAACATCCAAATAAAGAGGTTTCACTTTCTTCTAAATATTCAAAAATTTCATATAAACAATCAGCTGGAAGTTGACAAGCCATCTTCTTTTTTTATTGATTATTCGATAAAGAAAAAAAAATTACTTAGAATATTAACGCCATTGTGTGACAAATATTCATGTTGATCTGGCTAATCATGTCTGGTTATTGTGTAATGTAGATCAGAAATTTTTTACGTTTTTTTCTTTAATTAGAATTGAACTATGATTTAACAGAGTTTAACTTGATTCATGATTTCCATTCATTCCATTTACAACTTGAAATTGAACTGAACTCGGGAAACTTAACCACACTTAACTACATGTGGTTTATATAATCATGGCGCGGCAATTTGATTTTGTATCAAAAAGTTCAAAAATTTGGTAAGCCTTTTTGACAATTACTAGAATATATGGAGTTCAAAAGAATTTGTATTTAACGTTAATATTAAATACTTTTATACTTTAATACTTTAGAATCAAAGGATTTGCATTCAACTTCAAGTCATTCAATCAATTCAAATCATTTATATTCCACTGTTTCAGATGGCATTCCCAGATGACACACATTCCAAATGTTTTATAAATAACAAAGGGTAGGGTTTATATATAATTTTGTTTTAAGTTGTAACTAGTAATAAGATTTCGTAATTATTGTTGCGAAAAGTATGTGGAGCACGACAAGTCCATATTAAATAATTATAATTATTTTTTAGGACCCCTCGATGATATTATAAATTTCCAATGGCACTGTGTGTGCATAGAGAAATTCATAGAAATTCATCGTACGTTTTATTGGGTGAACAGTCAATTAGGTCTACAGATGCCCAAGTCGAATAGCAGCTTCCTTCTCAATTATTTTGGTAATAAATCAGTTTTATGAATATGATTACAAAGTTACAATTACATTAACTAGTGAATTTTCTAGTACTTTAGGTTTAAAATCTCATCTATTATATCGAGGTCTATCATATGGTAGGTATTTTATATTAATTGTATCAAGTAGCTTTGTAATTTTGTTTACAGGGTTGTATTAATGATTTTTATATAATTTATTTCTTAAGATACAAAACAGATAGAGCTGTACTGTACGTATAAAATGGGTATATGTAAATCATATAAACGCCGGTCCCAATTTTTTTTTTAAAAAAAAAGCAAATAAAACACGTTATTTTGAGAAATATAAAAAGTCACCTGAAATTTATTTAGATGAATTAAAAGAAATAAGAGCATATAGAAATATAATTCCATTTCAAAAAATTAAAATCTAATTTCATATTGTCTCGATAAATTTATTATGTTTGACATTTTTCATTATATCAAACAACAAATATCACATAATGTTTTGATTTACTGTCCATCCAAACGTTGTATGTATGTTTTACACAATTGAAATTGATAGTTTTATAATTTGATTGAAAATAAATTTAAGATCATTTACTTATTTCTATTCCTTTTACGAAATTCATTAATTTATAGGGTTGGAACAATGCAGTATGTCTGGAAATCCTATTATTCTTGATGTATTTTTATTCAGGAGCCTAGAACAAAACTTATGGAACCCATTTTACCAAATGCTTGCTATGGCTTATATATGTAATTAATTCAGATAATTCGGCATTAAAGCGGCGTAATTGTGAAATATATTATACAAAATTTTGTTCGAAGATTCATATGAAAATAGTATTACACCAGTATTACACCGGTGTAATGCCGAATTGGTGTAATGTACCGTAATATTTCGGCATGATTTGAACCTAATTCACCCCCATGTATAGCTATGACTCGAAAAAGGAAATTATGTCACGGCCTCGGTCTAAGATCTACAAACCTTATTTTATACTATATTATTATAACGTTTAATAAAGTATTATTCTTCGTGTTTAATGTAACAAATTATTACACTATTCTTTCCTGATTTTTTAAATTAAATTTCGCGTGAGTTTTAAACAACTCAGTCGTTCATAAATGAGATAATATATTTCAGTCTTATATCCTCTTTAATCAGCATTTTCTTTTGGAAACGTGAATGGTCGATTCTTTTGTGGAAATTTTCATAAATCATTACCTGTCTAGTGTCTACACAATTAAATGCTAAATTAGTATAAACAATATAAGTGCTAAAGTATCACAATGCGTTATATTTTGGACTGGTTTTTTAAATTAGACTTTTGGACAATCCAAAACTGCCCAAACTGTACTGCCCAAACTGTACTGACCAAAACTTTATTAGATCGATCTAAATCTTATACCACATATTAAAGAAATGTTATGTGATTAGAAGAAATAATAACTGAAGTTATAATCAACATATTCTTTGAAGGAATTCTTGAAAATGTGAATTTTTAATTGAAATAATTCGATCAATCGGAATCAATCGGCTTTTAAAATTACAATAACCAGTTGTTTAATAATCTATTAATATAAAAAAACTTAACGCGAGAATGCTTAAAGTGAATATCGACTACGCTTTTTCACGACTGATCAAGTTGTTTAAATTAATAAATGTAAAATCCATCGTCTCGTGTTCTTATAAAGAGTGTGTTTCCCTCTCTCAGTTCCAATATTCCCAATATTGCTGCAATATGACAAATACTACACAAAAATATTCAGAAATCATCTATTAATTTATGGGTTTGTTTCTTCAATAGTCAACCATGACTAAATATTTATTTAAATGTTAAAAGTCGATATAAAAGCCGATTCCAACTTATCCAACACTTTTTTCTTTCCATTTCAAACCAGCGTCCTTTTTTTTTATTACAGCAGGGAAAAAAAGGGTGAAGGAATAAATTTTAAAAGTAAGCGTTATATATTTCTTGGATAAAATTAAATCAATTAACTTGATTTTTTACAAACTTAAATAATATCTATAATTATTTTAAAGAAATTAGTAAAAGATCATAGAAATGAATATACAATAAAAGCAAAGAAAATAAAAAGCAAAATAAAAAATATTTTCTATAAATTAATCAAACTAAAGCATTCATCATTTTTCGAACATCATGAAAAGTTTCAGTAATACTCCTCATAAATTCATCAACATTATCTAAGCTAATTGTCTGACCCCAATAACGGTGTTTCAAAGCGACAATGTTTTGAAAGGTGATATTGCCTCTTTCTTCTTGTTTGACCTTTGAGAATGTAATGGAGTATTTTTCATTCCTTTAAGTAAAAAATAAAAAAATATTTTAACAATTTTAGCAAAATTTCTTTAAAGAAAAATTAATTGATTACTGCGAAGAAATAAATGAATTTATTACTTGTAACGTTTCTTTTCAATGAATTGTCGAACTACTGCTCGTTTAATTGTAGTGCCGGCAAAATCTTTTGATTGAAACCACATGCCATTCCTTTCGCCGGAAATTCGAGATTGAACGTCATTAACCGTCTTTTCAATTCCAGAACCCTCAGAAGGAAGGTCGTAAAAAGATTTAAGTGAAAGTCTAAAATCAGGTTCTTTTGATCCAGAGATAATATCAATGCTCGCTAATAAAAAAAAAAAAAAAAAAGTTTTTTTAATTAAAAAAAAATTGTTAAAAAATTTTCAATTTATAATAATAATAAATTACTAACCTAGACGGTTAAGACTATGAGCGTGGATAGCGACTTTCCATTCATTTTCTTGTTCACTCAAACGCAATGAAATTCTTCTCTTTTTAAATTCTGCAGGAACATAAAAGATGGTTACTTTCCCCTTGTTTATATTTTGTTCACTGTCCAACTTGAATCCAAATTTTTGTTGAAGTATTTTAAACTTTTCCTTAATTAGAAGGGAACCTTGTCGAAATTCATTATAGATCATTTTACCACCGTATAATTTATCATCATCGCGAGAGTAATCGTCAATAATTTCATTGATAATTCTTGATAAGGCATTAAACCTATACCATTCTTGTAAAACAAAAGGATCTTCTGGACTTGTAATACCATAAAATAGAAGTTTACCAAAGATTATTTTAGGTTTAAAAATGATTTGGTCGTCTGGGAATGCAAGACTTCTTTTAATAGTTGTTTTCATTTTTAAAGATAATCTTTCCAAGCAATAATTAAGTTTATTGAAGGTGTTGAATTTACATGGAGTAATTAGATCTAAGAAATTCTCAGACCTGTTAGCATAATTATTATCATCAGCCTCATAATCTTGTAGAAATTCAATGGAATAGTAAGTTATTCTTTTTGATTCATCTAATGAATCGTCACCACCACCATCATCATCACCATCATCATCGTTAATTTCTACAATTTTCTCATTAAATTCAACGAATTTAAGCTTGCTATCTGAAACTGGATCTGCTAAAATGAAGTAACAAACTGCTGGAATAAAAGAAGTCTTGTCAAGCAAATCTCTCATCAAAACTTTGGCTTCTATAAATTGAGATGAATTTCCAGAGATTGTCAAAGTTGTAATTTGTCCGGTATGAACAATAATTCTTGCTCCAGTTTTTCTTCTGAATTAATAAATTGAATTAGATATAATAATATCAGGATTTCAAGAAAAAAAAAACATATATACTGTATATTAAAATAAAAATATTACGTACTCGTATTGCTTAATTATTTTCTCGTTTAATTGAGAAAGTCTTTGACATTTAGTAATATCGAAAGATTTTTCAATAATCCTGGGCATTTTTTTTTTTTTTCATTTGATGATCGTATGAACAAAACGAAATTTCGATGGTAAGGATAAATTCTCAGTAAATAATTTTTAACCGATCAATTTATTAAATTGGATTATGTACATGGTGGTACAGCGGCACATCGGTCATTCGATCGCCGATAACGTGATGTTATCATTACATGATTTGATAAACTGATCATTTTATCTCTTCCTAGTTCCTCCTTGACTTTGACTATTTCTTTTATTATATTATGGTCTTTTCCACATGTTGTGAGTGTTTATATATAGGTATATTGTGTGAAATTTTTATTCTTTTTGAAATACAAATATATTATAATTTGAATAACAGATTACCCAATTAAAATTATTACGTTATAATTTTCAAGGAAAGAATGATATAGTGTTGCTTCGCAGGCAGAATAACTCTGGAACAAATTTGCATGAGATTTATGAACGAATTTTCATTTCCTCGAAATTTAAAATCACATGGACAATAAAAAATAATAAGTTTTTTTTTAATTTCTGTAATAAAATAAAAATAATTAATTATTACTTACGTCGCCATAGATGCACTTTCATTATGGTAATATACGCTATCATAGACGCATATTACAAAAAGAAACGTGCATCTATAGTTAAGTTTTATCAAAAAATACGATTATTACACGAAAGCTGATTTTTATTTTACAATTCGCTGTCATTCGTCTTAATATATCAGACAAAATTCGGTTAGATTTCATAATAACTTTTCGGTTAAGTTTCAATATTGATCGTCAGCATTCGTTATATCGAATTATTAACTTTTAACATTTGGCTGTCATTTTTACATTTCTATCATCTGAACTTGAAGATGACAAATTATATAAATTGTGATGACTCATAATAAAAATTTTTATACTGGTAAAAGGCCAAGTAATTGACAATATAAGATATGAAAACTCTCACGCATTTATTAGGTAATCCTTTCGTTTCGTATTCTTTCCATTCAAAATCATTAAAAATCCGGTTTTTTTTTGTTTTTTATACAAAGAGATTACAGCAAATTCATAAATTGCCGGCATTTAGCAAAACTAATGCCGAGAACTTGCCGGGTTAGCAAATAGAAAAAAATAATAACCATGTAACTGACACTTTTGAATTTTAATGGCGCGTCGTTTCAATATATCCGGCCTTTGCATTATTAAAAACTGTGAAACCTAGAAAGCATTCGTCATGTTTCTAAATGTTTCGGGCTTTATAAAATCCATTAATAACCATGTTTCCAAGTGATTAAATAAATCTGTATGGTATTATGTAAAAATATATTTGTGTTCGTCATTCGATGGAGGAGGTATGCGTTTCAGAAAAACGTCATTTCTTGGTCAGAAATATCGTCAAGGGGAAATAAAATGTAATATTCTCAAATATACATGGAGGAATAATTATTTCAGATAATTCGGCATAATGGTGAAAATGGTGAAATATATTACATCGAAGAGTATTACGATCGTGTTACACAAGTATTACACCGGGGGTATTGCCGAATTGGTGTAATGTGGCGTAATATTTCGCATGGCTTGAACCCATGTATAATTCTCAACAATGATTGGATTGCGATTAAGATACGCGTTCGACGCGTCTGGAGACATCATCTTAGAAAGATAAATGATATTACCTAAAAAAAAAATTTAACCTTGTGACGTTGCGAATGTGTATAATACTATAACACTTGGCACACAGCTAACTGCTAACCTAAAATAAAGTTTACAGCATATCACACAATGCAATGTAAAAAAAAAAATTAAATAAAAAAACATTAATATCGGTCTATGAAAATCTGCTTTTTCCTATTGGGCTGAACGATAACTGATAACAGCGATATATACTACCAAATAAGGTAAATTCCCATGACACGAAAAAAATATATAATAAGGGTTATTTGTTTTTTATTTCTCTCAAAATAACAACATTCACATTTATAACTCTCTTCTTACGCTCTAAATAATTCTCAAACAAATAATCCCTTCATAAAAATTTATTATGTCTACAAATCAACAAATAAACATGTATACTGCTTCCTCTTCTTCAGCTAATTGGCGTTTTACATTGTCAGACGGAGAACGTAAAACTAATGTAAAAAGATTATTTGTTCTCTTTGAAGTTTTTAATATCAACCTCAACGTGAATCAGAGGTTTACTGCTTCAAAGAAATGGGAAGATGATGCACATAAGAGAGCTAAATCAAAATATGAATATAATCAAACATTAGTAGCAAAAATGCGCGCTATACAGCAACAGCAACTACAACAAAAGCAACGGCGACAACAGCAACAAAATCAGCAGACCGATGCTGTTGAAATCTTGCGGTCCTCTTGATTTATGCAAATTACATGGTCGCGGTCCGCTCGATTTATGCAAATTACATGGTCGCGGTCCGCTTGATTTATGCAAATTGCATGTAATCCAAATATGTGCGTGCATTGCGCGACCGCAATGCGCAATAAAAATCACGTGCAATTTGCAACAAGCATGGCATCTTATATTGTCATACGAAGAACGTAAAGCTAACATGTATAGGACTTTTTTATTGTTTACTCTCCTGCTTTTACATAAATGAATAAATAGAACGTAAAGCTAACGTAAAAAGATTATTTGTGCTCTTGGAAGTTTTTAATACAAAATACAACGTGAATCAAAGATTTAAAGAAATGGAAGAAGATATATATAATAAAGCAAGTTCAAAAATTGAATATTATCAAATCATAACAGCAAAGTTACAGTCACTTAAGCACGCTCAACTGAAACAAGAACAACAATTCCAACAGAAGCAACTATGACAATAGTGACAGCAGTGTAACATAAAAAAAAGCCACATTCGAAAACCATCTATTAATTTATGGGTTTTTACTTTAATAGTTTCACGCTTAGTATAAATTTGGGGGCAATCATGGCAAGAATAAACCTTCTGTTTTACGTTATTTATTTGTTGGCAAGCATAGTACTTTTAATAATTAACTATGTAATAATTATTGAGATTAACTCGTGAAATCTTCAACCTTCTCTCGCATTCTCTTGCGACATTTTATTAAAATATAAAAAAAGAATAAAAAGTTATAAAGTAGGAGGGGCTAAAATTTTATGACCAGTTAAATAATATCTCTTAAAGAAAATAAAATAAAATAATTTATTTGACAATAAACTTAAATAATTAAGAAGATTCGTGAAAATAGGATTAAAGCGAAAATAAAAAATATTTATCAAACAAAAACATTCATCATTTCTCGAGCATAAAACAAAGATTCAAAAATACTCGTCATAAATTCTTCAACATTATCTAAGCTAATTTTTTGATCCCAAAATTTGTGTCCTAAAGTGATAGAGTCTTGAATGAAGAATTTACCTTTCTCTTCCTGTTTTACTGTTGAAAACGTAATAGAAAATTTTTCATTCCTTCAATTTTAAAGTAAAAAAATTTAAATTAATATGAATTTTTTAAAAGATTAATTGATCACCGTGAGAAAACAATAAATTTATTACTTGTAGCATTTCTTTCTAATGACTTGACGAATTACAGCTCTTTTAATTTCAGTGCCTTTAAAATCTTTTGATTTAAACCACATGCCATCTCTTTCAGCAGAAATTTGAGATTGTACGACATTCACTGTTTTCTCAATTTCTGAACCTTCAGAAGGAAGTCCATAAAAAGTTTTAAGTGAGAATCTTATGTCAGGCGTTTTTGATCCAGAGACAATATCAATATTAGCTAATAATAAAAAAAAAGGAAGTTAAAAAAACAATTTATTTTTTTCTTTTTTAAAGAATTTAAATTGTAAAATCACTCACCTAGACGATTAAGACCATGAGCATTGATAGCAACTTTCCATTTATTTTCTTGTTCACTCCAACGCAATGTTATCTTTCTCTTCTTAGTTGGTGATGGAACATAAGTAATATTTACTTTTCCCTTGTTTTTACCCTGTTCATCATCCAATTTAAACCCAAATTTTTGTTGAAATATTCTAAAATTTTCCTCAATTAGAGGCGAACCTTGTTGAAATTCATTATTAACGGTCCTACAACCATAAAGATCACCATCATCACAAGAACAATCGGCAACACTTTCGCTACGACCTCTTTTTGATAAGACATTAAACCTATACCATTCTTGTAAAACAAAAGGATCTTCGGGATTAGTAAAATCAAAAAATAAGAGTTTACCAAAGAATATTTTAGGTTTAAAAATGATTTGGTCGTGGAATGTAAGACTCCTATTAATAGTTGTTTTTATTTTTAAAAATAATCTTTCCAAACAATCACCAATTTTATTGATGGTATTGAATTGATATGGAGTAAGATTTATATATTCATCAGGTTTATTATCGTCATAATTAACGACAGTCTCATCAAACTTAATGAAATAACGAGATTTTATGTCTGATCCATCTAAAGAATCATTATCATCATCATCATAACCATCATTACCATCATTACCATCATCACCACCATCCCCATTAATTTCTACAGTTTTCTCATTGAATTTCTCAAATTTAAGTTTTCTATTATTCGAAACATGTTCAGCCAAAACAAAATAACTAAGTGTTGGAAGAAAGGAGGTTTTTTCAAGGAAATCTCTTATCAAAACTTTGGCATTTATAAATTGAGATGAATTTCCGGAGATTGTCAAAGTTGTAATTTGCCCGGTATTAAGAATAATCCTTGCTCCAGTTTGTGTTCTAAAATTAATAAGTGAATTAAATATAATAATATCAGGTCTCAAAAAAAACCCAAGATATATTAAAATAAATATTACGTACTCGTATTGCTTAATTATTTTCTCATTTAATTGAGAAAGTCTCTGGCATCTAGTAATATCAAATTTTTCGATATTCGACATTTTTCTTTCGAAGATTGTATGAACAAAAGCGATGGTAAAGGGGTGAAGGACTGTAAGTACTCCCAATAAGTAATTTATATCAAAATCAATTACCTTTTTTCGAAACAATAACTATCATATGACTGACCGCTGTGTACACGGTGATACATGGGTATTACACGATGGTTGCAATTATGTGTTATTATAATCTCATTTCGACTTTCGGCCACAAAATATTATTATTTATCGTATGTAATAGGTAAATTTGGTAGACAATTGCATGTAGATCTTGTAGACAATAATTAACGATCGGCAATCAACTGAACGAACAATCAACAATTTTTTAAATCACACAAATCACACAAATACTGTACATTATTCCTAATATGTTTTTAAACTCATTTATAATCACGAAGTAATAGTTCAAATATTTGCCAAAAAGTACGGAAAATAGCTTAAAAAACTTTATGCTCCAAACTGAGATATACATTGTCAGATAAATAATTTCGATTAGATGAAATAAAATTTATTTATTTGATTTTAGCTTAAACAATATTTACATAAATTAGAAATTTATACAAAAAAACAGAAAATATTTTCTATAAATTATTTATATTGCACTTATCAATTCTCGAGCATAATGTAAAATTTCACTAGCGCTCTTCATAAAATCTTCAACGTTATCTAAGCTAATCTTGCTAATCTTTTGTTTCCAAAAACGATGTTTCAACTTGATAAAATTTTGAATCGTAATTTTACCTCTATTGTCCTGTTTTACCGTTGAGAATGTAATAAAAAAATCCTTATTTCTTTATAATTTTAAGTGAAAATAAAGATTTAAAAGATGAGAATTGTTTAAAAGAAAAGATTAATTAATCACTGTGAAGAAACAATGAATCTATTACTTGTAACGTTTCTTTTCAATAACTTGTCGAACAACAGCCCGTTTAATTATAGTATCGATAAAATCATTTGATTTAAACCACATTCCATCTCTTTCGTAAAAAATTTGAGACTGAACTTTATCAACCGTCTCTTCAATCTCTGAGCCCTCAGAAGGAAGATTATAAAAAGTTTTAAGCGAGAGTCTAATATCAGGCTCCTTTGATCCAGAGAGAATATCAATATGCGCTAATAAAAATTTGTTAAAAAAGAAAAAAAAAATAAAAAATACATTTTAATTTTAGTTAGTAAAATCACTCACCTAAACGATTAAGACCATGTGCGTTAACAGTAACTTTCCATTTATTTTCTCGTTCGCTCCATCGCAATGTTATCTTTCTCCTCTTGAATTCTCCAGGAGAATAAAAAATGCTTATTTTTCCTTTGTTTTTGTCTTGGGCAACTTGTTCACTGTCCAATTTGAAATCAAATTTTTGTTCAAGTATTTTGAAATTTTCTTTAATTTGAAGTGAGCCTTGATGAAATGCAGTATTAACGGTATTATTATTGTAAAATTCACCATCAAAAGTATAATCATCAATACTTTCACGACTACCATGTTCTGATAAGATATTAAACATATACCATTCTTTTAAAACAAAAGTATCCTCAGGATTAATAACATCAGAAAATAAGGCTTTGCCAAGGTATATATTAGGTTTAAAGACGATTTGGTCGGGAAATGCATAACTTCTTTTAATTGTTGTTTTTATCTTTAAATATAATCTTTCCAAACAATCTTCAATTTTGTTGAAAGTATTAAAATGACATGGAGAAATTAAATTTAGGAATTCTTCAGGTTTGCTCGAATCATCATCATCGTCGGTCTCATTATTTTGTTGTAGAAATTCAACGAAATAATGGGCTTTTCTGTCTGAATCTTCCAAAGAATTATCACCACCATCACCGACATCATCGTTAATTTCTATAGTTTCCTCATGGAATTTAACAAATTTAAGTTTGTCATTATTTTTCAAAATTGATCTGTCCAAAATAAGATAATAAACTTTTGGAATAAAAGAATTTTTTTCAAGGAAATCTCTTATCAAAATTTTGGCTTTTTTAAATTCAGATGAATTTCCGGAGATTGTCAAAGTTGTAATTTGCCCGGTATTAAGAATAATCCTTGCTCCAGTTTGTGTTCTAAATTGATAAGTGAATTAAATCAATATCAGGTCTCAAAAAAACCTCAAGATATATTAAAATAAATATTACGTACTCGTATTGCTTAATTATTTTCTCATTCAATTGAGAAAGTCTTTGACATTTAGTAATATTAAATTCTTCAATAATTTTTGACATTTTTTTTTTTCCTTTTCTTTTAAAAAAAAAATCGTGTAAACAAAATGAGATTTAAGAAATAGAGAATTGGTGTCTGCCTTTTTCACGAGACAATAGCATCGTAAACATCATATGACCAGCCGATCATTTTATTAAATTAGAAATGTGCACACGGTGGTACAGTGGTACGATTTTAAAAAGAAAAAACAAAAATAATAGTTACTAGTTTGAAATTAAAAATTGATTCTGCAACTTACATACAACATAGATATATCGATGTAACATATTATGTGTTAGCTACTGCTATTTCGATCATTTTTTCTTTCAAAATTTTATTATAATTCATTTTACGATAAATACTCGTGAAGGGAGAAAAACGTTCCCATTGGTCATTGAGGTCTCTCGTATGACCACTGTGATTATCTGATATTACGTAATATTATAATCAAGATACTTCATGACAATCACTTTTTATATATTTTATGCGTGATAGAAAGTTTGATGTGAAGTTTGATATAAACTCAACCCATTTTGTATTTAGTTTTTTCGTCTCTAAAAATTCTTTCTAATAAAAAAGCAATGTCTCTTAATGATATTTGTGATGTATTATCGGTCTCACTTCAAATAAAAAAAGAAATTGCTGAGTTATGCTCTCACTTTTTACAAAAATCCTGGAAAAATAATGTGATGAATGTTCTTCAACGCCTGACCTTAAACTTTGTTTCCCAAGGAAAGTTATTATACGTTCTAAAAATAATAGGACTCGACTTTTGATTTTGTGTTACATCGTTATCTAACTTTGCCTTTTTTGGTCTCTTAACCCAATTTACCTTCGCATTGGTCGACATGATCGTGACGTATAACTTTTAATGATATCGAATACTTCTATATTAACTCTGTCTACACATTTATTCCTATTGTACAGTGGTTTGCAGAGGAATTAACGATAAAAAAATTGAGAAATTCTGGAAAGGTTTAAAGACCGCAAGAATTTTCTCTATTTGGCTGATAGTAAAAAACCTATCTGTTTGTCCGCAAATGCTATGATGATTTGAAAGCGTTGTTCTTGAAAATAAAATAAAAAGATTGCGGATCACTGGCAATCCAGGGACTGGGAAACATTTCAGCTACTACCTATTATATATCTTTCAGGTCTAGGGAAAATGGTAGTGTACCATAAAGCCAATAAAAATCCGATTCTTTACAGTAAGAAACACATCTTGTGTATTGAAATCTTTCGCTTTAAAGAATAGAATCTGGATGTCCCAAAAGTATGGTATATCGTGGATGGACAACACCCAACGGAGTATGATGCCGAAATCATTCTTGTTTCTTCATAAGGAATTTGATAAGTGGGGAATATATACATGCCAGACTGGAAGCTTGAAGAGAGCAAAATGTTCTTTGATGATCTCAGTAAAGATAAAGTCATGAACTTATATTTAAATGGGAGGGAATACCTTGATTCATCCTGGAAAATGCTAATGATGAAACCGAACAAAGAGCTTAAAGATTCAATCAATACATGCCGAACCTCCCAGAGGATGAAACTGAATATCCCCCATATTCACAGAAATTTATAAATTCGCATACCATTACGTGGGCGAAATGATGACTTAAGACTTGAAATGACATTGAGAAATTGAAATGGTCTTAGTCTTAAAATTTGGCAAAAGTAATCATGTTTTAGGTAACTTATTCAAAGTAATAGCTCACAAACTGGAGCTTTAAAATTCGATCTTTAAATACTGATATGGAAGAAACTTACGAACTAGATCCACAGATTAAAACATTTTTAAATACTTCAAACTGTATGAAGAAAATTTTCCATCAATAGATGCGATAATTATTCTAATGTCCCTGATCTATTTGAACCATAATACTAAGATTACTGGCTTGGAAAAACTTAACAGTAAATTATAAAAAAATAGGATCAAACTTTACCAATGGTTCGGTTTCAAAAGCAAGATTTTATTGGAAGATATTATCCAGGAGACCAAGTAATAACTTTCATTTACCCCACTAATATGCTCATTCTTAAAATAAAACTTATATTATTGTTTAGCAGTTTTATAAAATTATAAAGATATATATTAAAGTATTTGATTTGATTTTTTGTGTATGCTGTATGCTATATGGGGATTAAATTTCTAAACAACTTTATTCGGTTCTGAAATTTGACCTTATGATTTGATACCTTGAACTATTCACATTTCTTACTCTTCGCCAGCGTCTTGTTGGCAAGAGATCAGCGTTCCGAAACAGAAAGTGCACGTGATTTTAATGAGTGGCTTAGCAAAGCGAACTATTCACCTCGCCCAAACTCACAAATCCGTATAAATTTTAATCATGATATTCTATAGTATAACTTGATAAAGAATCGCTATAATTTGCTATAAACACGCTATAAATCTCATGGCTTATTGATGTAAATCACGTGTCAAATAGTTCAGTTGTAATGATTTTGTGTAGAAAGATAACTGCCAATTTCCAGAAATTCATGAAATGAGGCTCCGTCTGATTAGGAAGGAGCGAATTTGAGAGAAATTGATGTATGAGGACAATTTGATAGATATCTTATTGCCAGAAAAACAATGCATTTTGTATGTTTAACTCGTAGAAACATAGGTATATGCTATTCTCGCAATCAGCTCACCTATTCCAAATTAGGAAGCGAACATTAGCATGCATACTTTATGGCGTACAAGTGCACCGGAAATGCATATTGTGATATGAGCTTCGAAGACTATATGAAGCTGGAAGTTATTTCCAAAGGTAATATACCTAGCTATTACAAAGATGGTTCGTCGCTATGAGATGTGGTTTGAGAATGTATCTAGCAGAATTCGACGTATCAGGCACAGCCACAAGATACAAGAGACACAGGAAGTGTCAAATATAATGACAAAGGATACTAGTTATCAAGCGGGATTGTACGTAGAAAAAAGATGAAAAGAGAGAAGACGAAAACTTAATATCTTTCGACTAAATTAACATTATTTATTTTAACTCTGTTTACATATAACCTATGTATAATTATTTATCAGATTTATTTTTTGCACACTTCTTCGCCCTGGAAGAGTTTATTTCACCGATTGTGTTACAAAATAAATGGATCTCGACAGTCTGTACAGTGTCTGTACGACAGAATAATTTCTTATATATACCCTACCTCAGTATTTATAAAATTTTTATCACACAATAACAGATAATGTAACATTTCGCGAAAATTAGTACATAACCCGAAATGTCTCACTTTACTCTGTCTCGTCAACCGCGAACGCTTTCTCTGTTTAGTAGGAATGAGCCTATTAGTGAGCCCAAGGACGCTATTAAGGCGAAAAAGTACCAGAGTTCGACACTTTTCCTGTAGACAAACTAAGTGGAAATTAGTTACGAACAAGACGATCCTTTAGGCAATCTCTCAACCGAACTCCTTGCAACAAGAGAAATAGAAGAGTACTTACTGGTCCGAGAAAGAGCATTCATATCATAGTCTCTCCGCCATAACTCGTTTGCACTTCGAGTCAAGAGGTACTAGAATTAAGGGAGCAACTTGCTTCGATGCAAGCATTGCTTAACAAGTCTGTCTATAGTACGTATGATACGTACAAAATAGCGAGAAATCAATGAAGAAAGTGACGAAGATACCGCATTACCGCACGGTTTATTGCGAAATTTAGGACAGGTTCTTCCTTATGATGAATTCATCCTTAAGACAATTACGGAATTTAGGACAAACCCTTCTTCCATCTAAATTAAATAATAAGAGGAGAATTCTTCCTTCTAAATTAGAATAATAATAGGAGAATTCTTCGTGGGCACTTTTCTAACCGCAGCGTTCGACAAGGCATTTAAGTGGGCAGTGAATATCGAAAACGCGACTCTCGAAGGCCTCAAAGATTCCATACGTGCAACATACATATGCATTTGAAAATCCGGCCGCAGTATTTGAATGATGAAGACAGATACTCGCCCAGATAGGATATAGCATTCCGAGAGATGTTGCGAGCGCTAGTAACAAAAAATAGCCTTAAGTTCACTGTAATTATTGAGACTCCATCGAAACCATTTAACGAATGTACCTTTCCGACAAGGTATCAATTCTACGAATTTAGCGAGGAGTCGTAGGACCCGAATCCTAGTATTGATGTCTATCCCGTTTTTCATGTGGATATGTCATATGTGGACCTAAAAGGTGAAAAGTATCAAGCTATTGTTAGAGGCACCTAACGGCCGAAATAAACTTCGTATAAAGATTACTCCCATTGACATGGCGTACGAGGCAACGAAATTACTGTTACTTAGCCAGTGGTGTATCCTTATATGAAAAGGTTTCAAAATCATAACGAAGAGACTTATCGTGGGACATAACGGACAAGAGAATCTCGATTTTGCGATAGAGTGTTGTTCTAGTGGAGAATTTCTGGATTAGTTGAGGTCAAAAAGGGAAGGCTTCACGCAAGTTACAGTACCGATGGACCATCCTTAACGTGCCGAAAGCGCAAAGCAAAAGAAATAAACGATTCCGGATAAAGTATAGAGGATTGTAAAAGATGTACTTTATGGAATGTACACTAAACGAGGAGAGAAAACCATCGTTTAAGCTAATCGGAACCAGTAGCCGTCGAATACAAAGATGATAATATGCAAACCAAAGCATTGTATGGAAGAGGCACAGAAGCCGGTTGAAGCTTCACAAAATGGTGGGAAATAAGGTCATTGAGTAATTATATGTAAATATTATATAAATAAGTAATAATAGAATTAAATAGATAACTTATATATAACTTACCAACTAAAATAAATTACAAAATAATTTTTTAAATAAAAGAAATTAGTCAGTTTAAATTAATCTTGGGAGAATAGATAGGCTATTAGGATATTGGGATATAAACGTAGCAAATTAGTGACATCATGTATCACGGGCAAGTTCCCGAACCTTTGTGTTTATTTCGCGTGATCCACGCTACATTGTATTTAAATAAAATTATTTTTCTTGAATCGGAGTTTCGTTCCAAAAAAGAAGGCGCGCGTGATTTTTTTTTCTCTTGATCGGCCCATTATAGATAAGATGCTAGTCAAAAGAGCTTTTGATCAATTACTTAATATGAGACGCAATCCTGTTTCACTAAGAAAAAAGTGATCGGATTGAAAGGAGTTTTGAATCCTAATCCACTTATCCTAACTCTAATTCTAACCCTAATAATTCTAATTTCCCTACCTAGCCTCAAACTCTGTGAGATGTAGTATTAGTTTCCATAAATAGTTGTAAGTCCCAAAGTCAAGTAAATATAATGTTTGTAAATCAGAATTACCATCTTTTAGCTAACCACAATAGTGTAGTATTTACAGCCAATTTACAGCTTATGTTTATAATATTACAACCACTAAAGGTTGTAATTCAATATATAATAAACATTACTTGCCTTAGTAAAATAACCTTATTGATGAAATATTCATCAGTAAGATAATTTTCAGTGAAATAACTGGTTTCATTCTGCATTAACAATAGCCTAAATATAATAGAAATACCTTTGGCTGATTTATGCAAGACATTAATAACTGAAAGATAATGTGAGATTGAGAATTTGAAGATGCAGGTATAAGAAATGGAAAAAAAGCTTACATTCATAAAATATTCTACTCATCCAATTTCAAAAGAATATTCCAATTATAATCTAATTGCAAAGGATCATCAATTACTTTGGTAAAATCAAAGACTGATCTTGCAAATAAATGTTTATTAATATAATCTTAGATACTTTTTTGAATCATCTGCATATATCATTTCTAAAAATACTTATATAAAATAAGATTAAATATGAAATATTTTTACAGATAATTTTAAAGTTAGTATGTATTTCAAGTTAATGTATAAAATTCATATTGTACAGTATATAATATATATATATTTTTTTTTGTATGCACAATTTTAAAATTTAATATGCATTATTGATGCACAAAATTTTTCAATTAATATAGTTGTACTTAAATTTATATATAAGTTTACACAAAAATATTTTCTTATATATATATATATATATATAATTTTTTTTAGATTTTATATACTGATGAATCATGAATATAGGCATATTTGGAGGTTCTGGGACAAAATTTCTGAATAGATATACAAAAGTGTGTGGCCTTTCGACGTCTGGCCACTTTCTCGATATACAAAATTTTTGAAATATTTATTGAACTCCAAATTAACCTACAAGACTAGCAAACATATCAAAAACTAATATTGAATTTAAGCTTAAAATCGAACTGGACTTAATTCCTGTTAACATATCTTCTTACCCAAATTTTAAGTTTCCAAGATCAAGATGTTCACCATTTTTGTTAAAGAGCAGGCCTCTTTTTAATTCCAAATAATAAATAATATAACGAAAAAAGTATGCCATATTACTTGCCCCTAAATGAGACCATCGAGCACCGATCACTGAAGTGTCTGAGCGTGCTCAGTGGTCGAGTTTGCAAGCTCAATTTGCATACAATATTTTCATGTTATCCTAGAATTAATTCTAAGAGTGATTCATTACTGTAAACAAATTTCCAATAAGTCTCACCTCAAAGAGATGAGACTTATCGGGTCAGTGCTCCCAAACTTGATTTAGGAATTATTGAGTCAATTCTAGCATACCATTATTTTTTTTGATATTTAAGTATCACCTCTAAGTCCCACCTCTAGGGGGCAGATATATTTAAGTCTCACCATTAAGTCTCACCATTAAGTCTCACCTCTAAGTCTTACCTCAAATGTAAAAAAAAATTTCACCTAGCAAAATCTAACCTCTAAGTCTAACCTCTCGAAATCCAGGATATTTCCAAATAATGTTTGCAGTCTGCAGAGCGAAGTGGAGCATGTACACAAGTTATGTTCACCTCTAAGTCTCACCTCTAAGTCTCACCTTTAAGTCTAACCTTTAGGCAAAAAAAATAAGTCTCACCTCTAACTCTCACCTCTAGGACGGGCATATTTAAGTCTTACCTCCAAGTCTCACCTCTAAGTCTCATCTCAGAAGTATTCAGATTGAACATCTGGGCCTTATCCTGAAGCATATTCACATGCCGGATCCCTCCTTCAGTCATAAACCTTCAGTAGAAAAGTTGTTCCAAAATCTATGATTGAAGAAGCCATAAATTCAAAAATAGAAAAAAGTAATTAAACAAAAGAGGGGTTATAGAATTAAATATTTTAAATTGTGAAAAAGTTTACACAATATATAACAGGTGAAACTTATTGATAGCATGCCTAGATCAGATAAAAAAGATACTACATGTGCTTGCTATGATTATAAATTCACCAAACCAGCTAAACTTCGCCAGCATTATCAAAGTAATAAAAACCAATGTAGTTTACCACCAGAGAATATTAACCAAAGAAGAGTACGCATCCCTAAGGTATCCAAATCTATTCATCCAAAATCTCCAACTTCTAAAACGTCTAGACCATGATCACCAAGCTCAGCTCCATTAGTTCATACCCAAGGAAGGGATCGTCGAATGGAACAACCCAAAGCTGTAATCCCAACTCCCGAACCTGAGCTAGCTTCCATTAAAGATGGCCCCAAAACCGAAATATTTTGGATTTGCCGAAATTCCAAAACCGTAGCCGTAATTCCAGCCAAATCTGAAATTCCGAAATCCGAAATTCCAGCCGAAATGCTGAAATTAAATATATAAATTTGGCCGGAATTATGCACTTAATTCCGGCAGGAATTATGAAATTTCCTAAAATGGAAATCAATGTTACACAATATTCCATATCGTTCCTACTAAAATCGATTTTTGTAGAACGGCTATCGCCAAATATAGAAATGATCAACGTATCCGTTTTGACCGGAATTACGATTTTCGGCTAGAATTACGAATTCGTCTGAAATTATAAATTAATTTCGGCCGGAATTATGAATTCGGCCGAAATTATGAATTAATTTTGGAAAAATTTCGGATTTCAGATTCGGAATTTTGGATTTCAGATTTTTTCCAAATCAATTTCGGGGCCATCCTTAGCTTCCATTAAAGATCAAGGGGGTAAATGAATCGATAGACATGCAAGAAAGTCTGGGAACATTTGAGAACATGGGGTGCAAGATTATGCCAAAAATGAGTAGAGGTAACTGGTGAAGAACGCAATTTACTACTAACCTTAAAAGATTGTCAATTTCTACATAATGATCTAATACAGGCAAATGATGAAGCTTTTGAATTACAGCCCATAATGCAGGACGAAAAACAAGAGGGTGATCCTAAAGCTGGACCAGGCTCAACAATCCAAGCTCACAGAGAAGGGTATAAGAAAGAGGTAGTCCCAACTCCTTAGGCTTTTATCCAAGTGAAGGCCCTATGAAAAAAAATCATCCAATTTTTGTACAATATTTGTTCAAGTCTGTGTGGAAATTGTACAATTATTGCAGATTTTTGGATAAAAATAGCTATGAAGTTTTTCAAAGCATATTAAAAGTATGCAATTTTTGTACAACTTAAATTTAGGATATAGAAAATGTTCAATTTTTGTGTGATCTTTATACAACTTAAATTTAGGATACAGAAAACATTCAATTTTTGTACAATAAAAATTGTGATTATTGTACAACTTGAAAATAGACTTAAATTTAGGATACAGAAAGCAATTTTTGGGTAATCCTACTATACTACTT